AAAAAAAAAAAAAAAAGAGAAGAGACCTAGAATAGAAAGGCAATCCTGGACAACAAACACAAGGTGGGGGTATTACAATCCCTGCCTTGAAATTATACTACAACGCTAATGTAATAAAATCAACATGGAACTGGCAAAAAACAGACCTGAGGATCAGTGGAACAGATTACAAGATGCAGACACAACTACAAACACACTCAGCCAACTTATCTTTGACAAAGGGGCCAAACACATTCATGGAAAGAAAGATAGCCTCTTTAATAAATGGTGCTGGAAAAACTGGCTTTCCACATGCCAAAGACTAAAACTAAACCCATGTCTCTCACCATGCACTAAAGTCAAAATGGATCAAAGATCTAAATATTAAAACAGAAACACTAAATCTACTGGAAGAGAAACCAGGTAGAAACCTTGAAGACATAGGGATAGGCTGAGAGTTCACAAACAGAACCCAGACTGCATGGGAAATACTTCAAAGAATCAACAACTGGGATCTCATCTTATTAAAAAGCTACTGCACATCAAAGAAGTCACTAACAGAGTTAAAAGAAAACCCACACAGTGGGAAAAATTTTTTAGCCAATTGTCCCTCCGACAAAGGAGTTCTACCTAGAACATATAAAGAATTTAAAAAATCAGGACGCCAAAACTCAAAGACCCAGTGCAAAAGTGGGCATCTGAGATGAATACAAACTTCTCAGATGAAGAAATACAAATGGCAAATAAATATATGAAAAAATGTTCAACATCATTGGTCATCAGAGAGATGCAAATTAAAACAACACTGATATTCCATCTAGCCCCGGAAAGAATGGCTATTATCAAGAAATCAACCAATAACAAATGTTGTAAGGGCTGTTGGTAAAAAGAAACTCTTTTCCACTGTTGGTGGGAGTGTAGACTGGTGCAATCCCTGTGGAAATCACTGTGGATATTCCTTTAAAAACGAGGATTAGGGCCGGGGTGGCACAGTGGCACAGTGCCTGCCTGGCAAGTGTGAGGTCATGAGTTCAATACCTGGTACCAGCAAAAAAAAAAAAAAAACAAAGCAATCTAGGATTAGAGGTCTCATTTAACCTTCCAATCCCCTTCTGGGTATCTTCCTAGAAGAATTGAAAACACCATACCACATCAATATATGTGCTCCCACGTTTATAGCAGCACAACTTGTAATAGCTAAACCTTAGAAGCAACCCAAATGCCCATCAACTGAGGAATGGATTAAAAAAATAGTATTTTTATATAATAGAGTACTAATCAGCTATAAAGAAAATAAACTTGAGGCTTTTATAGGTAAATGGATGCAACTACAGACCATACTCGTAAGTGAAATAAATCAGACTTGCATGTGTGAACATCATATTGCCTCCCTGGTGTGAGAAACTGAAAGAGTAAATAAGTTGTAAAATGTACAATGGATATTTTCAATGGGAAGAAATTTTTGAAAAGAAAAAGGAACTAGGATGGGTAAGATGGGAAAAGACAGTAGGGAACAATGAAAAAATGCAAGTCAATTATACTATAGGGTCTCTTAGTTCATTAAAAAGGAAGGTTTGTGCCAATACAAATTGGAGAAATTTGTATGCCCATATCTTGTACCCTGGGCAAGTATTTTAAAGATAACAACATGCTCGGAGGTATGATAGACACTGTGAAATGATAGGAAACCACTGAAGAGTAAAGGGCTTCTGGGATGTGGGAAAAGAGAAGGGAAAGAAGGAGAAATTTTGTATGCATGTATATACAGGATAGATAACATGGTTGTTCTTCTGTCTTCTATTTCTATGCTGAAAGAAACTGTCAATGAGTCTTTGGTTGACCAGTATTGCATGTCTATATCTGTTTTCATGAGAAGCCACTTTGAAGATATCAATATGTAATACAACCACTTTTTTTTTTATTTTAAAGATAAAAGGAGGGAAACATTAACAGACATACAACATTTTACAACATATCACTAATAAATCTAATCAGTTATCCTGTTATTTTTTTTAAAAAAGTGGATACATAATTAAATAGGAAAAGGTTTAAAAGAATCTGCATATGTGCTAAATTTTTAATTTTGAAGTAAGATAAATTTTATAATAAGTACTTTAAAGCTAATTTAAGATATGTAATTTTAAATTAGTCATCATAATAAATTAATAAATTGAGTATCACTTTCAAAGATCTCATCACTAAGTAATAAAAGAAGTTAGATTTGTGCTTCCCTCAAGCTTGAAGAAGGAAAAAACCTCTTTAATTTCCCTCAGAAAGTGACTCAATTATTCAATAGTTCTGTACATACCAAAGAGACAGAACGTTGGGTTTTAATACACAGTTGCTTTTCAAAGGACTCTGAAAATTCCTGAACTTTAGGGTGAGACTGTCCCTTTGATTCCAGTGGCTCCTTGAACGACCCATTCGCTGAGCTTCTTCTGTGGTACGACTTGTAAGTTTGGGTTCGGAACTCTTGGTCCTGAGAATGCCTTCTGGGCTGGCAGTCAGATGATACAGATCTGGAAAGCACAGGAAACTGAAATACAAAATAAAAAAATTAACAATATACAGAGGCTGTACAATATTAGCAGAGAGACAAGATGACTACAGACTGCTAACTAAACTTTCACCTTCTTGATCGGTAAGAACATTCTCCTACAATTAGGAAGCATAATAAACTGGTTAAAATATTAAGTAGATCCCACCAAGCTTAGCTTTATTGCTTGCAATTCCACCAATAGCAGGGTAAATTCCAAAATGATTTTTTCTCATTTTAATGAAACCAGAATTTTTAAAGAAATAATATAAAATTTATATATCATTTTAATATTCATGTTTCTCCCTTGGAAAATGGCAACGGAAGCAGCCATAAAGAAAAATTAATTTAACTATGTACAAATACACAACTTGTATGAGCACACACAGCTGACTTGAGTTCTGGGAAGTGGTACAAAAGGAGACCAGGAAGAGAGGGTTTATGCTGATTTCTCTCAGAGAAGCTTTAGCTGTTCTCCTTGGTGGAGCCTGTCTTCACCAGGACGGCTGCTGTGCTCCTGGGAGGAGCTCTGGTCTTTGCCTTCACCTTGAGCAGCATCTCCTGGCCCTTGGTACAGACACTTCGGCTGGGAGCACTGGTCTTGGCCTTCACCATGGGCATCATCTCCTGGTTTTCAGTACAGAATTTTTGGCTTCCAGTATTGGCCTTTCAGCACGCTGGTGCAGACTCTCTATCCTCTGGCACCAGCCCTTGGACTTCCTGGTCCTCCACTGTGGATATTTTGGCCCGCTGATGTGGAGTTTATGGGACATTGCCATGGGTTCTAGGCCCTTGGCTGGATTCTTCACATATCTAGCAGGAAGACAGATCTCTTGCACTCTTCTACATGTGATTCTAAGAAGCATTGACTAATATGGAGGAAAAATTTAAAGTACTTGTTTTAGTAAAACTCAATTAGTTTCAAGACAGAACAGAAAAATGACTTGATACTTGAACAGAGAAAAAAATGCAGAAATGGAAGCAATTTTTAAAATTCAAACAAAAATTCCTGGGCTAAAAATTAACCTCAGCAAAATTAAATCTACAGTGGAAGGTATTGATAACAGAATAGATCTAACAAAAGAATAAGTGTACTTGAAGACAAGTTATTTGAAAATACTCAGTTGAAGAAATGGAAAAGAAAGAATGAAGAAAACTTATGGGAACTTTGAGACAACATTAGCAGAGCAATATTCAAATCAAAATATTTTAAATGACAGAGCTGTACTAAAAGAGCTACATTTTTCCTATTTGTGATTTCTTTGGGAATTGAGTAAAAGAATATTCAACCAATTGGTAAAAAAAAATCTCTGAAAATTATGTTTCCTTAATCCAAGTTACCATTATCTTTTATTCCAGTTACATCAGTAGCTTTCTAATAGTGAACATCTTCCTAAGAGTAGATATCTTGCGTAGAATCCTACTTCGCTTATTTTACTCCTCTCCAAGCAGCCAGAATAGGAAGAAGGAGGAGGAGGAGGAGAAGCAGAGAAGGTGGAGGAGAGAAGGAGGGGAAGAGGGGAGGAGAGGGAAGGAGGAGGATGGGGAGGGGAGCAGAGAAGCAAGGAGGGACAAGAGGGAGGGATAAAAAAGGAAAAACAGGAAGACTAGGAGGAGGAGGAGGAGACTCAAAGCTGGCTACCCTTTTATTTTGCACCTCATCCCTACTACCTCACCCCTCCTGTGACACAGCCTCATAGCCACTGCTCCAGCTCACCAGCTCCTACACAGCACAGGCACGGACAAGACAGTCCTCCACTCTGTAACTTCTTTTACAACCTCACCCCTTCACCTCTCTAATGGCTGGTGTGACCACAGGTCCCTTTGCTGATACCAACATTAAGTCCCTCCTGTCAGAACCATACAAAATTGAGAGCTAAAACAGCATGAGAAGCAGGCATCCATGTTCTGCCTAAGAACTTTTTCAAAGACTTCAAAAAAAAAAATCTACCAAAAAGTCCTGCACACACAATGTCTGGATTCACTGTCGGAATCTGTCTGTCCTCACACAGATACAAATTTCTGTACCCAAGCTCATCTCTGACATTAAGACTTCAGCAATTCAGACAAGACTGTTACCTAGAAATCACCTTCACAAGGAGCAGAGACCAACTCCTGCCTTCAGTGTCCAAGAACAACAAACTTTGTATCTAAGCAGCTGCTGTGAATTTCTCCCTGCTTGCCAATAAAAGCTTTCATTGCCCTTTCCTCTTGAGGTGCACACTGGTTCACCATAGCATATACTGGGAATATAATTTACTCATTTCTGAATGTAAAAATTCTTTATACATTGAGATAATTTTTTTTCTTTCATTTCAACACTGACACAGCTCATCGTCCTTCACTGTCAGTAGAAACAGTATTATCCCAAAAAGGCTTTCCTGACTATTGTGACTGCTTCAGGTATTAGAATACTGTAATCCCAGTATTCAGAGCACTTAGATGCTCTCCAGGACATCATACTTCTCTTCTATGACATTTATCACGTAATCAATAATTTTGGATCTCCCTTCACCGTGGTATGGGCAGCAAGCTCAGAAAGCACCAGGGACTTGGCAACAAGTTCTGCAAGAGGAACCTGGGTGTCTGCCCATCCCCCTACCTCTGGCCCTTGCAGGGGCAGCAAGCATGGGAAGTGCCCCAGACTCGGCAACCAGCTCTGTGAGAGGAATGCAGGTGCCTGGCCCATCCGCCTACACCACAGGACAGGCAGCAAGCACAGGAGGTGCTGTGACTCAGCAACTGGTTCATCTGGAGGAACCCAAGTGCCTGGCCCATAAACCTACACCTCGGAACCAGTTCCCTGGGGCAGACAGCCACACAGGGGGACCCAGACTAGGATACACACAAGAGGGACAGGAGAGACTAGAGGGAGGGAAAAGTCTGAAATACGAGCCAACAGGTGGTAAGTTAGGTAAACCAGTGTTATGCTTAGGGACAAAGACATATAGAACAGAAAAAGCTGGGGGGACAGCCCCTTTTTTTATATGATTTCATTTGATCTTACTTTATCTTTGTTTTTATCTTACTTTCTTTTCCTTTTCCTTTTTCCTTTTCTTTTTTTCTTTTTCCTTCTCTTTTTCTTGTTCTAATCCCTCCCACCAAACACAAAGACCTAGTTCAATAATGCCCTGAACTCCTTCATTCTTTCTTTTCTACCCGCTTCTGTAGTTACCCAAACCTTGCATGACCATCCTTTGTCCTCCAGGTTTGCTTCTACTTCTTTCCCAGTTATCTTTATCTTACACACCATCCTCCATTAGACAAGGAGAAAAACTTTGCATATAAACTCCTAATTTATGATTGTTTCTGTTATATAGATATAGACTTTGCTCCTCTGGTCTAAAGTACAAAATCAATAGGTACCATAGTTTGTCAACTTCTAAATTGTGCTTGATGCTATCATTATTGCTAATTGGATTACTCTATCTAAGATGTCATATCTATTGTAATCTGTTGTTCTCCTTTGTGTAACAATATTGGGAAGCTATGGGGTAATAATATCACCACAGCCCTACACCAAAAGACTGGGGACTGAGCCAAACAGAAACCAACATCCCACTCTCAGTTAACTGGGAAGTACGCCAGGCATGGTGGCATATGCCTGTAATCCCAGTATTCAGGAGGCTGAGGCAGGAGGATTGCTGTGAGTTCAAGGCCAGCCTGGCTACAAAGGGAGTTCAAGGCCAGCTTGAACTGCATAGTGAAACCCTGTCTCAAAAAGACAACAAAAATTTGAAATTTGCACAATAGCAGAAAATTTCCCAAGCATAAGAAAAGCATCTGACATACACTTAAGTGAGGCATGTAGAAGTCAAATTAGCCATAACCAAAATAAATCTATACCCACACAAATAATAATCAAGATTCCACAAATTCAGCACAAGAACAGAATATTAAAAGCTGTTAGAGAAAAGAAACAGATCACCTATAAAGGAAAGCACATCAAAATCAGAGCAGACTTCTTAACACAAACTATAAAGTCAAGAAGAGCTTGGAGTGAAGTATTTCAAGTTCAGAAAGAAAACAACTTCCAACCAAGACTGATGTATACTATTTTTTTAAATTAATGAACAAATAAGATACTTCAACAACAAAGAACAACTGAAGAAATTCACGACCACCAAGCCAACCCTAAAAAGAGTACTGAAACATATTCTAGAGATTTTAAAAAAGACCACAACTCAAAAAAAAACTGACCACAATTCCAAGAACAACAACAGAAAGAAATTACCAAGCAGGGCAAGCAATGAAATAGAGGGGGAAAGTAGAGTACCAACAGCAGGAGAATAATATGGCAAAGATAAGCCAATACATTTCAGTTATAACCATAAATGTAAAGGGCCTCAATTTACCAATCAAAAGAGAGAGACTGGCAGAATGGATCAAGAAACAAGATCCAACAATATGCTGTATACAAGAGACAAATTTAACTCAAAAGGAAATTCATAGACTAAAGTCAAAGAATAGAAAACAATACCCCAAGGGGTACCTATTCTCTCTGCAAACAATGTGAATTTCAAATCAGGAGTGATCAAAAGGGATAAAGAAGGCCACTACATACTTGTTAGAGAAAAATATCAAAAGGAAGAGGTAAAGGTCATAAATATGTATGCACCAAATACAGAAATACCCAAGTATATAAGCCAAACATTATTAGACATGAAAAATCAAATAACCAATAACACAATTGTAGTGGGAGACCATAACACCCCATTATCACAGAGACAGATCAACTAGACAAAAAATCAGCAAAGAAATAACAGAAATTAACCAAACCTGTGAACAAATGGACTTAGTAGACTTTTACAGAGTGTTCCACCCAACAACATCAGAATATACATTCCTCTCAGCTATACACGGGATGTTCTCTAAAACAAACCATACAATAGCCCATAGAACATGCTTAAGTAAATGCAAAGGAATTGAAATTATCCCATGCATATTATCTCACCATAGTGCAACGAAATCAGAAATTAATGACAAAAGAAACTGCAAAA